CAAAGGTGAAGGAGAGTTTGAGCTGGAGAAGGGAAACGGGGGAAGGGGGAAGGGGAGATGGAAGACCCAAGGTCGGGCCGACCGGATATTAATTTCACAAAAATTACACACATTCGGCGGATAATCAACATTAAGATCGGCTTTTGGGCGCTGCGCTTCAGTGGCCCATGACAATTAGGGCCAAAGAAATTTCGGGCCAACTCCAACTCGGGGCTCACCTGTTGCCAAGAGTCGAGAGCTGTTGATGGGAGATGGAGCCATTAGGACTGAAATGAAAACGACATGCCCAATGAACAAATATTTTCACATCATCATTTTGATTGGCACGCATGTCCGCGGGTGTGTGTTTCTCCTTGCGTGTGCCCGCGTGTTGAGTGTTGAGTGCAGTTCGATTTCAGTTTCGAGGCAGCAGTGCGTGCAAAATGGATCAACGATCTTTGCGCTTCAGTTGCAGCCAGGTCGCGAGTGGAAGGCTGTCTATCTTTGGCCGGGAGTTTCCTTCAGAAACTACCCAAAAACCCAATCGATTGGGGACCTCATGACGACACAAGGCGCACAGCAGGACAAGAAAACTGCAGGACAACTGTCGCGTGCTGTGCACCTCTAAAATTTTAACAGCTGCTCTTAATGTGTCTCTGTTGGGGATAGGAATTGGATAGGGGAAAATGGAATTACCCAAAATTACGCAGAATGCCCAAATTGCCATTAAATCGCATTAAATCGAGCACACATAAACCGCAAAAGGATTTTCTACGCATCGTAAACCTCTTAATTCTCTCGTTCTGTATCTGTTTTTTTTTTTTTTGCCAATCTATCCGAAATGTGTCAAATGGAAACAAAGAACCACAGAATTGGGTAAAAAATTGCCTGATTTAGTGTAAAATTGCAGGGCAACAAAAAAAAACTCAGACATAACGGAATAGAAATATGAGGCTAATGCCTGCCGACAGCCAAAGGGATCGTCATTAGCATCCCGAAAAAAGATCGAACGACAAAAAATGGCATAGGGAGATGGAATACTGGCAGGGGGGAGCCGCCCAATTCATCACAGTCTGTCACTCCTCATCCCTGTCTTTCGTCTGGCCAGGCCCATCAATCTCAGGTTGTAACTGTATTACAGGGACAGACGGCTTGATGTAACAGCTTACCAGCCTGTTCCCTGCAGATCCTAGCCCTGCAGCGCCGACTGCCACAGCGCCTGCGCCACGTGCCACATCCAGTCGCTGTCCTGTCCGGTCCCTTCCCTTGTGCAGCTGCTGTTGCCGCCGACGCCGCCGCACTCGCACTCGAGACTCACAATTTTCAACCCCCTCAAAAGGGGTTTCTGTCGGGGGATTTTCGTAGGGAGGGAATGTTGGCTGGCAGTCTACTTTTTCCCGTTTAGCTTTTGTTTTCCACTTGAGCTGAAGCACTTTCCATTGTTGCCTTTGTACACACATTGCAGTGCATTTTCCGTTCGTGTTTTGCTTTCTTTTCGCATTTTTCGAGTTTTTAATTAATTTGAACCGATTCCGGTCTGAAGCGCTTTCCAAGCAATGCGTTTACCCCTAATGGCATACAAATTAAATTATCGCTTTTTGACAATTCCCACTCAAGAAAGAAGGGGCGCCACATGTGGAGAGGAGGGTTTTATTGGTTGATCAGGGAAATGGGAAACGTCGAATCACAGAAGAAAATGTCAATGCAGGAAGTATTCGGTACTAAGAAAAGAGTTTGATGAATGGCAATTGTTCAAGTTGCGGGAATAGTGGAAATTTGATGCCTCCCTTTGATCGCGGGACTAAGAACTTAAGGGAGCCTCAATCGAATGAGCGCTGAGTAAAATGTTGAATTCAAATTCGCACGTTGTCGTATTATTCGCCACTATACAAATCAGACCCAGACACACCACAAATTGCCAACACAACTGGATTTTTCGATCAACGTAGACCTTAATTTATTTAAATGCTGATCCGATCGACTCAAATTAATTAAGTGGCACACTTTAATTTGCATATAAAACCGACATGGCCAATACCCAAAGCTGGGACAGAAAAAAAAAATATAAAAAATCAAAGCAATCAAGTACAAGATCTATAAAATCCATTTTCAAGACTTTTCGTTCAGACAATGGCCAAAATGCAAAAATAAATGTCTGTTATAAATTATTTATGACGTTTTTAAAATGTCAACAGCCAAATTCGTCGCCCACCTTAATGACATTTTAGCCAACATTTGAAATGCAGGAAGGGGGGTGCTGGGCTGGTGCGGCTGTCTAAGGGGTAAATTTTGTATAATTATTTCTTTTGTTGTAATTGTAATTGCTGTTGGCAGGAAGGAGTGCAGGTGCACGGTTTAGCGTTGTCGGTTTTCAATTGGATGTGTTTTAAGTGCGAATCGAGTTGACATTACGAGTAATGGCCATAGTACAAACAGATCTGCCAGCAGAGAGAATTACGCCACAAAACCCATTCCAAACGAAAACGGAAGCTGATTGCAAAGCGGAAAATAGCTACTCAATGTCTACCAAATACTAAACAAATACCCTTTCGTCCAACAAAATAAGAAGAGCTTTAAAATGGTTGAAATTTAAGTTCTAAGTTTTAAAGATTATGCCGAAAAGTAAAGGTGTAAGGTTGAAAAGACACCTCCAATAGCTATAGGGAGTTTCACAAGCAAACAGACCATTCTGAAGGGTATTAAAACAAACAAAACAAAAAACTAAAGTGCAACGGAAGTCCAGTGAAATACTCGCATATTTGTGTGCAATCGAGAACCATAGAGGAGTACGCAGAATGGGCTGGGAAGAGGAAAAAACAAAATAAACTGTAATTAACTGTCGGCTCTCGAATGAACATGAATCAAAGCGGTCTGGGGTCTAACTCTGGAAGGGGGAGGCCGGTCATTTATTCCGCCTGAATTTGCATTCGCATTTGCATTAACATTCGCAAGTTCCGCAACAGACGAAGGGTCAGGGAGTGGACGAAATGCATTCAGTAGTATCCTGCCGGAGGACCCCAGAGCTGCACTGCCACAATGCACTATAATTAGGGGTGGCTGAGGACGCAAGGATGCGACTCCCTGAGAGTGATAAATATTTTGCGCCTGGATGACAGCTCATAAACATTGCCCAATGACGTCTGTGGCAGTGGCTCGAAGCGATTACATTTATTGACAATGTTCAATCAGGAAGGACGAGGCGGCATCCTTGGAGTGCCTCAACTGTACTACAAGTGACAGCTGTCGGCAAGGGATGGCAAATCCGCTATAAGCCCTGATGATTACATTGTTTTTGACACAGACAATAAAGAAAGCAAGAAGCGCCTGAAACCCCTTCCATGATTGATGACTGACGACACGCTGTCATGTCCAGTTGACAGTTGTCGGGCCCAGCTAATATTTTCTGGCGCTGTTTCAGGCCACAGTCCCGGTGCGAAGCGGGTTACAATGGCCAAAGTCAACAACTGGGCGAGGACGCCGATTCCGATTCCGTTCCGTTTCCCACTCCTATTTCTATTCAACAGCTTAGGGAAATTTACATACAGCCGTAACCAACATGATGCACCCTTAAGGTGCGGCTTGGGTTCGGTTTCGCTTTTCATTGTGCATAATAATGCATTTCACGGCGGGACACCCCGTAAAAGAAGCAAATGAACGGGCAAAGTGGGCGTTGTAATGTTGACACTGTAATTTACGCATTTCACCTTTTCTTTTTGGGCGCTTTAACGGATTTGCATCCAGCTTAAATGCCAAAGGGCTGAACTATGGTAATTTGATATGTGGAATGGTGCTGACGGCGAGTAAGCACAGCACTCGTACAGTTGTGCCTGCGATGCTCTGAGATGTAAAGGCAGCACAATTCTGTTACTAACAGTCGGAGCGACCCAATTAGGTGTTACATCTTGCCACTTCCCACGACATTTTCTTACAATTTACCCATAACAAATTGCCTCTTGGAATAATGAGCTCCCTCTCCAATACACCCGCAAATGGAGCGTTCTCATTGAACTTCGACTTTCCTTCATTAGTCAAAGATGCTAGACAGCAGCTGCTCAACTCAAGTGCCGATTCCCAGATAACGTAAACATTAATTTATTTTGTCATGCACTCAATTCTCCAAAGTAATTGAAACTTTTTGAACAACCCGCGGATAGCAACAGCAACCACAACAGTTAGAGGGCGCTATTTTCATGTTCTGCTTTTGCCACGCGCCTCCCTCAAGCCTCTTTAGCTCAGTGGTAGAGCACTGGTCTTGTAAACCAGGGGTCGTGAGTTCAATCCTCACAGGAGGCAATTTTTAAACAAAAAAAAGGAAAACAATTATTTTTTAATTGTTACTGTTATTAACTTTTATTTTATGATTTTATTTATAAAGAAAAAATCAACTTTTTAAAAAGCTCTGGTTTTATTTTTGCTTAATTATATTTTGAGTTCGTTTCGAATTTCCATAAGCGATCATTAACGTAATGATGATCTTATCAGTATTTAATCATCAATCTGATCTGTATAAAAATGTATCTACAAAATATTAACAAAAAAATAGAATTCAAATAATTGCAGATGATTCTTGCCTCCTGTGAGGATTGAACTCACGACCCCTGGTTTACAAGACCAGTGCTCTACCACTGAGCTAAAGAGGCGAACAACCCGATCGCGCCAAAGAACCCAGTTCATATGAAGCTTCTCTATATGTTTTTTAACTTTTACCCCAATTGAGGAGAACTTTCAATTTAGTATAAAAGCGTTTTTGTGTAGGGTAAATACTGTGTCGAACCGAATTAATAGTCGAATGATATGGGGATGATTTTTTTTCGTTTATAGGTGCCTCTCCGCAACAAAATTTGTTAGTAAACAAACGCTATTAACTCTTAGAATGCTTTCTCTCAGCGATCTGTTCTCTCATTTTCTGCCCTTGCTCTTTATTATTTGGGTGGCATTCTCTTGGATCTATAAATAAAATGCCGAAATGCTGTTTTTATACCACACGTTGTCGTCGTCGTCTCATTTTCCCGAATTTTCAGATTCAGTTTGTCTGCAGCTTTTGTGCCGGGAGTACTCGAATACCAAAAGCTATTTAAAAACTTGCATAATTTGTGACTCTAAAAATTGATAAAACAAAATGAAAACTCCACTCAGCCAGAAGACGGGTTTCTTTGCCGAATACTATCTGAAGCTCAAGGGGCAGGCGGGCGACACCTGCGAGGCGGATATAGCCAAATTATCGGGGTGTAGAAGCGATGAGGAGCGCGTGGCCTATGTGGATCAGCTGGCCTGGGTGCAGGCAGGGGAATTCGGAATTCGGCCGGAATTCGATGGCAAAAGTGCCCCCCTGGCCGCGGAGATCAAGGAACGAGCAACGGCTGCCTTCAAGGGGAAGAAATGGCTGGAGGCAATGGTGCTCTATACCAGGAGCTATATGTCATTGCCCAATGAGAATGGTGAGACGTTCCTAAAGTGGATTTAATACACGTTTCTTAATTGCTGGTATCCAACAGTTGCTGAGATCTGTATCGTGCTGGCCAATCGCTCTGCCACTCTGTACCACATGCAGAAATATCAGTAAGGATAAAGCCAGAGGAAAGTTCTTGGGAATTATTTCGAAATATTTGCAGGGAGTGCCTGATCGATATCAGACGAGCCATCGACCTGGGTTACCCCAAGGATTTGATCTACAAGCTGTACGAACGACGGGCTCGATGCTACATGGCCCTCAAAGACTATCCCCATACGATTGAAGCCTTCAAGTGAGATCAAATTATCAGCTACGCTCCTGTACCTCACTCTAACATTCCTCTGTTTTACCTAGAAAGTGCATCACAGCAATGGACGACTCCGCACTTACATTCGACAAGAAGTCCAAGCTAAATCTGGATGCCATGACTATGATCAAAATGCTATTACAAGATCCGCGCACGGCTAAGCAGGCGGCCAAGCAACAGAAGCAGAAGATCGACCTCGATCAGGCCACAGCTCTGCCGGCGGAGAAGGAGTATGTGAGTCCGCTGGTGAGGATCGATCGCAGCCCGCAGGAGGGACGCTTTGCCCGGGCCGCAGCCGATGTGAAGGCCGGCGAGGAGCTGCTCGTAGAGCGGCCGTTTGTGTCCGTCCTGCTGGAGAAATTTGCCAAGAGCCATTGCGAGAACTGCTTTGTGAGGTGAGATGATGGGAGCATATGTTTGAGATCTTTTGAGTACATGTATTCCCCTCCAGGAGTGTGGTTCCTGTCGCCTGTCCTCGGTGTGCCGATGTCATATACTGCTCGGAACAGTGTCGGGACGAAGCGGCCAAGAAGTACCATAAATATGAGTGTGGCATCGTGCCCATCATTTGGAGATCTGGAGCATCCATCAACAATCACATTGCGCTGAGGATCTTTGCCAGCAAACCCTTGGAATACTTTCTGCAATTGAAGCCAACGATTGATGAGGAACTCTCGCCAGAGGAGCTACTAAGGTGAGTCTAATATGCTTCCTGATTTAATTCGCAGATTCTAAACCCTTTTAAGTCTTCCCAAGGACGACTTCCGGCGGGTAGCCCAGCTGGAACGGCATCAGAACAAGCGCCAGCCATCGAACTTCTTCCAGCACGTGCTGATGGCCCGTTTCCTGACCAAATGCCTGGAGGCATCAGGCTACTTTGGCGCCGAGCCACAGCCGGATCAGGTTCGAGCCATTTGCTCGCTGGTGCTGCGCAGTCTGCAGTTCATCCAATTCAACACCCACGAGGTGGCGGAACTGCACAAGTTCCGTTCGACGGGCAGGGAGAAATCCATCTTCATTGGCGGTGCCATCTATCCCACTTTGGCCCTATTCAATCACTCGTGCGATCCCGGAGTTGTGCGCTACTTCCGGGGCACCACGATCCACATCAACAGTGTTCGACCCATCGAGGCTGGCCTGCCCATCAACGAGAACTACGGACCGATCTACACGCAGGACAAGCGCGAGGAGCGCCAGGCCAAGATGAAGGAGCTGTACTGGTTCGAGTGCTGCTGCGATGCGTGCATCGACAACTGGCCCCTGTTCGAGGACCTGCCACGGGACGTGATCCGTTTCCGTTGCGAGGCGCCCAACAACTGTGCGGCCGTGATCGAGGTGCCACCCAGCTGCAATGACTTTATTGTGAAGTGCGTGACCTGCGGCGAGGTGACCAACATCCTGAAGGGACTCAAGGTCATGCAGGACACGGAAATGATGACGCGCACCGGCAAACGGCTCTACGAGACCGGGGAATATGCCAAGGCGCTGCAAAAGTTTATCGACCTAATCCGCATCATGTACGATGTGCTGGCCCCCCCGTTCCCCGATTACTGTGAGAGCCAACAGCATCTGAAGGACTGCTTCCTGAACCTAGGCAATGTGTACAATCTGGATTGATTCAAAGCTGCTGTCTGCTGGCCGCTGACTCATTCAATTTGACTACCATTTGTGCTCGAGATTTTTATTACAACCGTGTTTCACTCACTATTACAGCTGGTGTTTTCTTGGAGTTTCCGTTCCTCACTAGTAGTAGCCACAGCGGCCACGATGGAGTTTACTGCAACCGGCCACGTTATGGCTGGCGAAGTAGCAGCAGCGATAGCAGCTTATCGTCGACCGCCAGCCCCAAGCTGCAAATTAAAGCGCAAACACAATGAAAAAACTGACCTCGAACCCACTCTCTCACTCTCTCCTCAATCCGGAGCAGATACTTACGTCCACAGCCGCCATTCCGATAGCCGTAGTCCCTCTGATCTCTCAGATAGCACCGCTCGGCCTGCTCGTTCAAGATCCAAGGATTTCTGGTGGTGTAAGTAGGTCGATTGGCAATTGTTGGTGGTGCGTATGGTGGTGTATAGATCGGAGGTGCTTCTGTGGCCTGGGTGGTTTTTGGTGCTTCTGTTGTCGTGGTTGTGATGGGTTCTTTGGTTGTGGTTGTGATGGTTGATGGTTCTTTGGTTGTGGTTGCAGTTTTTTCTGGGGGTGCTGGAGTCGTAGCTTCTTCTGCGGATCCTGCACTCATAGCTTCTTCTGCGGATCCGCTTGTCGTAGCTTCTTCTGCGGATGCTGGAGTCGTAGCTTCTTCTGCTGATGCACTTGTAAAAGGTTCTTCTGTGGGAGTGGCCGTCGTAGGTTCTTCTGCCGTACCCTCCTCTGTGGTTGTGATGGCCTCTTCCGTTGTCGGCCGTGGAAAATCCTCAGGGAACTCAGGCCTTATATCCTGTGCACGAGCACCAACGACCAAGAGCACCAGCAGCAGCCACAGCGAAATAACCGGAAATGTAAGCGTCAACTGCATTTTAGCGCGTTGTGTTGTCGTGAGCCGATTGCATTCAACTGAAACTGATCACCAGTCCCTCGGAGCGGGGTAGCCTCAGTCGGATCTTGGCCCTACGTAATGAGTAGACGAAAGCGAAAATTACGAGTGCTGAGGGCAGCAGCTCCACTCGCTGATAAGAGAACACTGCCACACTGCGGGCAATTAGGATGACTAACAATCTGGGGCCCCAACTTATGCAACTTGGATGCTCACTGAAAGCCACTTGTATAGAATGAATGTGATTCAGAATTACCTCCCCCGGTGTATCTGGTGATGCATCCTCACTTGTCACTAGCCACGCATCCATTTCTGTCAGTGTAGGCCAGCAACCGCTTATCAGAATTTGAGGTGAAATTGACAATTGTGTGGCGCACAAATTGCTTGCGGGTGGCTGAGCACGCGTGCGCAACCCACCTTGTAACACTTTGGTGTTTGTTTTCATCGTTTTCGCTGGCACTGTAACCCGCATAAAGCCAATCAAGGGAACGAACAACGAGACGAGATGTCTATGGAAGCGAACGATGACGTACAACCACTTTTGCTTTTGCGTAATTAGCAATGCCAAGGGAATTCGGTAATAAAAAAGTCAATAAACAGAACAAGTGGGAACCTACTGCGAACTGATGAAAACACCAGATTATGTAAATTCCTGCAGGCTTGGGAAAACCCCACAGCTTTAATACTAAATTGATAAGATGGGATGATACGGAACATTTTGAAAATAGCGCAGTATGAGCTGATCTCCGTCATAACAAGTGCACATTATGTGTGTGAGCGGAGAAAACCTCAAATCAAGCAATACTATACTGTATTCGTATTGAGAGAGTGAGAGCACTGGGCAAAACAACCGATTCCAATCGACCAGTGAGATTCCCTTGGGTGATACAAACACCAACCATACTATCAAAATTATAATACCCTCTGAACGGTGTACATAATATCCAACTCCAGGATTACAAAAAAATGTTTACATTTATTTGAAAGTGTTACCGCGTACAAAGTCGCGTTGGTTTTAGCTAGTTCTTCCAAACATGTAAATTGGGAGTCGCACCATTCATCAGGGCACCACATTCCGTTGATATTGCATTTGAAGTTACATTTAGTTTGTTTTGGGCTACAAAGTAAGCCCTTTCCGATTTACAGTCGGCACGTAATACGTATTCGCTTATACAATTAATTTAATTTTGAAGTATGTCATCTCAGTATAATCGTACTACTCGTTCAACTGAAAACGATCTAATTGGCCACACCAGAAGAATAATTAAGAACTATTCGATCGTGAGTTATTGGTCAGATCGGTAGATATTTGTTGTGTATATGTATAACTCGGATTCGAGACCTTATTTTCGGTGGCGGAGGGGACATGACAAATATTCGAAACAAACTTTGTTATTATCCTGTCTCTTAAAACTATTTCTTATTGCTAGCTTTTACTAATTGCATTTAACACAATGGAGTGAAGTGAGTTAGTAAGCTCTAACAAAAGCAAACAACACTGACTTATTTACAATATATTACGTTGCGTTGCGTTTCATTGCTTCCCAAGAGCCACACAGATTAGTTAATTAAGAGCTATGTATACATGGCGGAGACTCTTTTGATTTGATTCTGATTCTGTTTCTGTTCAGTTACACATGCAGTGCAGCAATGCTGCCTGCTCAAGGAGATTCCATAGTTACAACTTAACTAATTGGTCAAACAAAATTTGTAAAAATAAACATAGGACTACTTTTTGGTATTGCAAGCACACGTAGCTGTGTGTGTGTGTGTGTGTGTGTGTGTAGGTGATGGTTCGGTTGGTGTTGGTTGGTTCTTAGCGTCGTTAGCTCCACGAGAGATCATAGCCCTTCCAGTTGGCATTGGGTGCCAGATGCACGCGTCGCTTGTTGTAGTAAAAGGAGACGATGCCGTGATAGGCAGTGCGTGGCACCCCGCTCTGCAATGAAATACAAATTCGTATTAGGGGAATGAATATATATATCGATCGGTTCACCTTAAAGTCATCCATGAGCCCCAGCATCTTAGTTATCCGCTTATATTGCTCCCGTGTGGTGTATTGGATGCGGACTGGTCCCTCGGCGGCTATCAAGTTGCGACGCAGTTCGTCGTACGTGACAATGGGATACGTATAGACACTCTGCACAAAGGACTTATCATAATTATCCTGAAAGAGAAGCGAGTCATTATGTGGGTTAGCCAGGGATATACAAAAGGTACAAACCTTTAGCAAGTGGCTCATATTGATTTTTGTGAACTGCACAAAGTCCTCGCTGAGCTTAATGTGTTTTAGGTACTTATCAAAGAACAACCCACTAAAAAAAGAACAAAGAGAAATCAGGTGGACCGTTTTCCACAATTGTGGCGCTTATCTCTTACTTTGATACGCCTATTTTTCCGAAAGTACGAGTTCTAGATATCTCCGGTCTGATGCATACGCGGTTTTTTCGCTGGGCCGGATGGCGTATCCAATCATCCCAGAAGCTAAAACAGTTTCGAGGCAATTAGCAATTGGTTGGTGTCGGTATAATTGATCCACTCACGATTTGGGCCATTTAACTGAGAGCTCGCTCCACAGCTCTTTGGTGAGCATCCAGCCGAGACCGGGGAAGAAATCGGTGCGATATAGTAACTCTGTCTTCGAAACGTCCACAACAGCAGCCTTGCCATTATCATTCCAAGCGGAGACGCACCACAGACTAGGGTCCTGTTTGAGCAGTTGGTGTGTGCCCAGAAAATATTCAAAGAAATCTGGCGCCACGTTCAAGTCATCCTCCACAATGATGGCGAAATCGAAACCAACTTTAAATGTTGTATTCAGAGCCCAGCCATAGTGTCGGGCTATCTTGTAGTAGCCCTTGAACTTTTTCTCCTTGGGGAGAACTTTGATGTCGCTCTGGTCCGGCTGCTCAATGAGGGTTACTTGATTGCCGAAGGAAAGGATAACCTCCTTGGTATCCTCATCGCCACAATCCTAAAATAACCAAGAATTAAAAACGATAAGGATAGCCGCCTGCAGAAATTATGTTTCATTCCTCGTACCTGTGACACAATAATGGGAAATTGTTCCATGCTGGGACGATATTGAATCAGATTATCGATGCACTTCTTTACGGACACCCGATTGCAGGCAAATACCAGAACGGGAAAGACAGGCAGTCCATCGCCCATATATGTTCTCGTTGGAATCGGCGCCGGGGTTTGCTTTGCCACTCGTTGATCCTGCAACTCCCCGGAGATCTCTGCCGCCACTATGCTTATCTGGGGCGTCGATACAGTCTGTGCTTGGTCATACTTGGATTTGACCAACTGGAAGAGATACTTGGCCATTTCGTGACTTTTCTGATTCGCATCTCTCGCCTCGACGTTCAGACGGTACATCTGATGCGCTTGAGTCCTGCTCAAATTGATTCCGGTATTGCGAAGCAGTAGGTAGTAGGTGGCGTAGGTCCACGTAATTAGAAAACCAACTATAAGCAGCACTTTCCGCGATCGCATCTTTGGGGGGTTTGGTGGGTGGGCGTTCACTGCACTCCTTGTCTACTGTGGCATTGGCATTAAACTGACGATCGTCACGCGTTTCGCTTTGCTTTTTAATCGGTGGCGGTGGGTATGGAAGCCCTGTGTAGCGGCTGTTGTCGTATTGGTTGAGCCCTCTGGTTGAGCAGCCGTGTCCAAAAAGCGTGTAAAGCATCGGACATTAGCATCTGGCACTGTGCAAGCTGGCTATATTTACTTTCAGATTCATTGCTGTCGTCGTGGACTAACCGCCAGGCTGGCAAAATAATAATTTTTTCGCGAAATCGAATTGAGGAATTTACACGTTGTGATGTGGTGGTACCAGATTTCATATAGATGTCACTCCCTCCGTTGGTGGACTCAAGTTTCTGATTTCTTTTGTTTTGTGTAGCTGCTACTGCCTCCTACCATTGACAGCTGTTGTATTGTATGCTTGTAATTTCTCGGTTTGCATAGTTTACAAAAACAAAATAAACTATGCAAACGCTGTACAGCTGGAGATCAGTGTGACCGCGGACTTATCTATAAATTATACCGCCGAAATATACCTTGTCAGTATCAAAATATACCGTAAATATACTGACGAGCTCGACAAGATTGTGTTCCAACAAAAACGGCCAAAAGCATAAATCTTTTCTGTGTACCGGAATGTGACGTCATTTTTGCTGGTCAACCAAGTTTCTGCTACGCGTATGACATTTTTATACCGTATTTCCTTTAGTTAATGTTTAATTTGTTGTTCCAAGCTGATATGAAATATCAATAATGACTTTTTCTAAGAGCACGCAGCACATTAGCTATGGAAAGCATAGCAATGCAGTCTCGTAACAGAGATTACATTTTGATTTTCAAAAAAATGCTAGAAGTAAGCTAAAATGGCAGCACTTCAGATATCGATGTTCTTTTAATCATCCCTGGTTAATGGTGTGACCGTAATTCGGTGAAATATAGCAATACATATACGGAAAAATACAAAAATACAAAAACCTCTTTGAAACTGTTTTGACTGATGGCTGAATATTAATTAGGGATTGGGATTTCTGCGTGACAGAATACAACCAACCAAACGTGGCCCCCGGAAAGACATTTTTCAATCAGAGTTTCGTTTAATCAATTAATTCATTTAGGTTTAGTCGTTATTTAAATTAGCTTAACAGTTACACTTAGGAGACTAGTAGGTGCTTACGAGTTAGACCGAGTTCAATTTTTCCAAATCTGTATATGTATATATTTATATTTAAAGTGTGTGTGTTTGTGTATTTTTATAAGAATCACTGTTGTCTGTCTGTCTGTCGCAATGTCTGTCGGCTGCCATAAGTCGTTGAAAGTTACTTAAGTTGCCGCATTCATTTAAAGTTAATTACGTTTTGTAAATGGCAGTTACACAAAGTTGTATAGGTGTATATTAGTAGTAGGTAGTACATTAATATTCCTTCTTTCCTTCATTGCCACTGCACGCAATTCCAACCTGATTAACATTCATCGCTCTGCTATTCCGCTCGCCAGCCGCTTGAGAGATTTACAACTCGCCCTGTCCCTGTGTGTGTGTGTGCCAATGCTTTCTACATCAGCCGCCAACTCAGGGCGCAGAGAAGCGTCCAGACACAGGCCAGGGACAGACCGGCCGTACCCGTACCCGAACCCGAACTGAGATGTCCTAGCTCTCGCTCGTCCACCACAAAGGCGGGCACAGCACTGGCAGGCGTCTGCTCCACAGAGCTGCCGACAAAGTTCCCACGACTGTTGCGAGCCAGGCGCTGATTGGCCAGCTTCAACTCCCGCAGTTTCTCCTCCAGCTGCAGGACCTCATCTGTGGGGCAGAACACGGAGTACAGGTGACTATTAGCAAAAGTTCCGGCAGTGGAAAGGCAATTTCAGAAACTCACTCTTGTTGACCCCCTCGATGTCGTTGACCTGCAGGAACATGGCCAGCGAAATCTCGTATACCTTATTCGCCGAGCTAATCTCCCGCTTGCGTCTGCCGAAGCCCACCTGGTTGTTGGAGCACTGCGTGCCGAGACACTTGTCCAGGCACACATTCACCGTGGCTCGAAACTGCACGTACGAGGAGTCGGGAAACTTGAAGGCCTTGAATTTGGCACTCAAAATGTCGCCGTCGATCGTGTTGAAGTTCTCGAACAGATAAGGATCCACAGTGCATCTAGGGGCAATGCAGAAAAGTGTCATGGACGGTGTGTCAGTGGGCTAGGACCGGCCGACAGACTTACCCCTTAAATATCAATGTTTCCGAGGAGGTGTGCGTGTCCGTGACATCCAGATAGTTTACACCCAAGCCATAAACAGGAGCCGAGTCCTCGTCCAAGTTGATTTCCATGGTCAAAGGAGTTCCCTTCGATTGGTTTTTGCATAAAATCAGCTAAACAATTTCAACGTTTTTTGATTTCTGGACAACTTACCGACTTGACTGTCAAATCCCTGGTAAACTTCTGGCCATCCTGGCTGACGCCAATCGAGAGACGCGGCTCCGGAGCGCGTTTGGTCAGCGACGTGGTGATCTCCAGATCCCTGCAAAACAGTTGTATGAAACAGAACTGGTTCAGTTCTCTCGATTGTGGCATTGTGATTCAGGGGGTTCCTTGTCCTGTAATGAGCTGATGTCCGACGCCCAGCCACGGAGGAACGGAAACGGGAACGGACAGACATGGACAGACTCCCCGCCAAAGGTGGTTGTAAATCAACGCCGGGCAATGAAAAACAAACATTGTATTGGATCGGATTGGTTTGGAGGCTGGAGGAGAGGCTGGCTCAGAGACAGAGTCGTGGACACGCCCCGCAATTAAATTGACTGTGGAGGTATTAACGCATGTGAAGCCGCCGGCATCGATTTTGCGGCTAATTACCTCCTGGTAATGGCAAGACAGCACTGGGAGCGATAGGGGAGACGTAGGATAGGTTTGATTTATGGCCCTTTTGGCTTGGAGTTGGACCAATGATAGTCTGGGCCTGGCTTGGAACTGCACTGGGCTGAAATGGTCCATTTAATATGCCATAAACTTTTGCATAGATTGCTCATAAAAATATGCATAGATGCTATTTTTTATGGGCAATTAAATTGCAAGGAGACAGCAGTGGCAGTGGCAGCGGCAGCAGGAGCGGGCGGCCAAAAACTTACTCTGGTTCCTGGAAACCCGCCGGCAGCACATCGCGCTTCACCAGGCCGCGGCCAGAGTTGTTGTTGGAGTTGGTGCTAGAGCTGGTGCTGGTTGTGGTAGTGGTGGCATTCATCATGACATTATAGACGGGACCACTTGTGGTGGTGATGCACTTAACGCTGACGATCTCCTTGCTGCTGGCCGATTCGATGATGATTTTATGATAGTACACTTTCTTGCCCTACAGACACAGACAGGAAGAGAGTTAAGGATCGAAATTATCTATGTTTCCTATGGTCGGGACGCACCGTTAATTGGTTGACCATTCGCGTGACTCCGCACTCGTAAAAGTCGCTGAGCGAAAGCCGAAAGACGGCCAGGGAGCCGTCGATCTGCGGCTGGCAGCGTTCATCCGGATAGCCCTTGAGACCTTCCAGATAGATCTGTGGTGGGCTCTCGTCCTTCTCAGCGGCCGGCAGGCCAATGTCCACCCTCATCTGATCCTCCGAGCAGTGCACCTTGTGGGAGCCTGAAAGCAGCGAAAATGGAAATCAAATTGTTGTTTTTGCCGCATTCTTCGTATATGTACTAAAAAGTGGGCTAGCATGTCGTCAACGGCCAGAACTGGACTAGGCCTGGTCTGGCCAGAGCCACGCCTTCTCCACCGCCATCATCATCATCCAGACGAACGGACGGACATTGACGAGATGGACCCAAGCAGCACTAACACTAAACAATTGCCAAACATAATTGCCATGTGCTGCTATTGGAGCGAGTTTGTGGCTAAAGTCTTTTGTTTTTTTTTTTGCGCCCCTTCTATCGCGCTCTCACTCTCTCTCTCTCTGACTCTCCCGCCCCACGTCGGGTGCTCTTTTTTTATTGAGTTGGCTTAATGGACCCGCAGGGCTGCTTTTCGAGGCTGGTGGAAAGCAAAAACCTGACATTAGGCCCCAGACACACTCACACACTGCTTTGGTTTAGTTTGGTGCGCTTCGGTCGGTCTATCGGTCGGTCGGTCTCTGGCTGTGGCATAATTTTCAGGCCGAGTGTACCAAGCCATGTTCGGTCCCGTCCGGGGCCGGCAATCAAAATCTTATTACCGTCGAACATGTGTAGGATGCCACAAAATTATCGGCTTAAATGCTCTCTCTGCCGACGAGGCCATTAGCCGGGCAAGGATCTGGAGCGGATCAGGGTGCAGTGCAGGAGGGCAGATCACATCAGACTATTACTGCAATTCACTGTAGACGGCAAAACTAATTTAAATAATTGACTATAACTACTTAATCTGCGTACTAATGGCACAACAAATCTAACAATTTCACAATTTCAGTTGCCAGATCGGAATTTCGCAGCTTTCCTCTCTCTCTCTCAGTTTCTTGGTTTCTGTCTCTGATCTATGGACATGCAATAATTCGCTTTTAATTAGCCAACAAAAGAGTGAAATCCGCTGGGAACATTGAGATAGGGCTAACCAATGCGGAAACGCACTGGGCACAGGTAATTAAAAATTGCAATTGCAGTGGCTGCAGGCGCCTCCGGCTCTACCAGAACGGAAGGGGGCCCCGTGGTCTTTGTGTAATCGTAGTAGCAGCCTCAAGGTGGGCGTAATGCAAGCGGCGCCTCGAGAAATTAAAATTCAGAGACCCACAAAGCGGGGAATGACTTCCGCCAAGAACAACAGATGGAGAAGGAAATGCGAGGGCATTAAGAGTGCATTAAGGATGTCGGAGATGAGGCGTCGAAAAGGCTTGATGTACCCTGAAATTAGGGTAGACATGGACGCCACATCCATTCCACTGAGAGGATGAAAGAAGCCACTCGCCAGTAATTGAGGGGAACCTGTCGTTGATTCGATTTAAATGCCCCGCAAAGTAACCGAAAAAGATGCAAACATCTGATGCTCATTTCTGATTTGCTGAACGAAAACCCCTGCCTCAAACCCATATACCCTCGATGTTGGTGTCTACTGGGCATCTGAGATCGAGAGACGCCCACGAAACGATGACCAAGACTGGGATGCCAGTGCCGATGCCGATGCCGGACCAGACCGAATGAAGCTGTTGCCTCCGAATGGTGTCTGTGTCCGTGGGCGGGACAGTGCGCGACCGACTTGGGTGCGAAATAATTGAATTCCGATGCGCGGTGGGCCCTTTTCTAGATGTTCTGCATGTTCTTTTATTGATTGAATTTTTATTGCCCGCCGCTGATTACAATTTATTTGACACCATTTTTATGGGCCAAGCCAAGCGGAGTCAGCTCGTGAGAACCGAGAACCCTAAACCACTTAACCCACATTTAGTCGGGGGGGCAGAGGGGCTCCTGGCGCACTTGGAATCAGATTGAAAGGCGGCTGGCTGGGAGTGGAGTGGAGTGGGCGGCCGGTCGGATCGAAGTCAGA